CCTCCTGCCTTCAACTGGTTAACGCCTGCTCAGCCTCCAGCTCTCAGCTTGAAGGTCATTTCCTTGGAAGGGACTTACTAGCCCCCATTACTAGGTGAGGCCCCCTGTTTCAAACTCTTATAGCATCCTACAGGGTGGCCACTACCACACAGGGGACTTTCAACAAACTGCGGAAGGCACTGTGTGTGGGAATGGATTCTTTTTTTTTTTTTTTTTTAAATTGGGGAATTGGGGAAAGGGAACAGTGTTGGGGAATTGGGGAAGGGGACCAGCCAAGTTGTTGTTCTTCAGTCTTCATTGTGGAGGGTGCCAGTCGCCATCTGGCTTCCCGTCGGCAGTTTCTGGCCTCTCAGCTCAAGGTGCTGTGTTCAATCTTAGTGGCGGGTGGGTGTAGCCACCATCCCATGCAGGAGTCGAACCAGCAGCCTTGTTGTTAAGAGCACACGCTCTATCCACTGACCCATCCGGGCGGCAGCTCAGCTCAAGGTGTCAAGTTCAGTCTTAGTTGCGAGTGGGCATAGCCCACCATCGAACAATCTTGTTACGCCAGCTAAGCCATCCTGCCACCTGTTGGCAGCTCAGTGACAGCTCAGCTAGGGCGCAGTGTTACTGGGCCATGTGGGAATCGAACTGGCAGCCCTGTTGCTCAGAGCTCGCGCTCTTAAGCCAACTCTTAACCAATTGAGCCACTTGGCCGGCCCGAGATGGATTCTTAAAGGTGTTTCTTTTGGGTGAACACAGGCTGGCCTGAGGAAAGAGTGGATTTCAGCCCCTGCTTGCTCCCTCAGCTGGACACATTTGTGGGAGCATAAAGCAGATGCTCGGAGGTGCCTTCATAGCACTTATCCTTCAGAACTCTCACCTAAATGCCATTAAATAACTATAGCTGTAATTCCTTGTCCATGTCCTCCAACAGCCTGTAGCTCCATGAAGACAAGGCTCCTGGTTGTCATGTTGAAGACACGGAGCCTGGCCCTTAGCTGGGGCTCCGGGAGCATGCATGCAATAATGAAGCAGCGTTTAGTACCACTAAGCAAACATTAAGTTATACATTCACATGCTTTTTTCTAGTAAGATAACGAATGGTCACTCTTCAGTCTACACTATTGTTACTATTATCTTCCTTTGATTCCTGTGAATATGTGGCTTGTGGCCAAAAATCAGGAATCTAGCTTCCCTGGAAAAAAACCCTGATCCACAGGGATGGACTGCGTGTTCTTGACTAGGAAACGAATCACAGACTTGTAAGCCAAAAGGAACCTATAAATCATCTTGTTTAACTTCCCCACTTCACAGAAAATCAAGGATTAGGATTTTCTCCTCTGTAAAATGAAGACTGGTTGTAGTAATCTCCCATACCTGGTATTCTGAGATGCTAAGATTTGCCCAGGTCTGTCCCATGGAGAGTGACAGCTCAAGATTGGTCTACTAACTTGAAATTTAAAACTATCTCCCCAACACTGTGTCCTAAGTAACTAAACTATGGGCAGGGAGTTGAGCTGTTGAATTCCAGGCAGAATCCTGGGGTGTGCCAAATGCCAAAGATCAAGGAATGTGAGGTTTGGGATAATGTTACCAACAGGATCCCATGAGGCAAAAAGATGGAATAGGCTCAATTTTCCATGGTTTGTTAAGATATCCCTGAGTTAATGGGGTGATATTTATACCTTGCTTATGTGCCCTGGAAGGAAAACCATATACCCAAACACACACGCTCCTCATAATTCATAAATGGATTGAATGATATCTGAAACTATCTAGACAGAAAAATGGGAAGGGAATGAATTACAGAAATGCCTTGTTCTCTGTTAATGTCTGAGAAGAAAGACTATGTGAGACACAAAGAGGAACTTATTCTGCATTCAAGAACTATAAGGATAATTATTTTTTTAATTTGAAATATCTGTTTTTTCTTTTTCCTTGTTAAAATCTGTTATGAAAGGGCCGGCAGCGTGGCACGTTAGCTAAGAGTTGGCTTGGGACGCCAGCTCTGAGCAGCAGGGCCCCGGTTCAGATCCCACATGAGGGCCAGTGACGCTGCGCCCTCTACAGCTAAGATGGTGAACAACAGCTCGATCTGGGGCTGGGTTGCTAGGAGTCGCCGGCAACGGCATAGGCTGCAGCTCCTGCTGCAGTGGGCTGTCATAAAGCTACCGTGAGTGGCTGGCAGCCGGTGTGAGCTGCCAAGAGCTGCTGTGAGTGGCCGTCCAGAGGCCAGCAACCTATCTGCCTCATCCGGGAAGAGCGCAATGATAATACCAACATGGGCCAGTGAAGCGATGTCCTCCACAACTAGACTGAAGAACAAAAGGACAGCAACTTGTCTGTTCCCCTCCCCCAATTCCCCAATTTAAAAAAAAATCTGTTATTAAAAATGTAACCAATACTTAAATGAATAAAATGAAACTCTCTTCATAATTCTATGCTCAGAAATTGAAGCTATTAATGTGAGGTACAACCTTCCAAGCCGGTTCTATGCATATATTATGTGAATTAAAAACCTTTTTTTACAAAAATGGGTCATACCATAAATGTTGTTCTGTGCCTGGTTTAATATTATCGACTTTTCATATTAATATATATAAAGCTACCTGGGGTGCTTCAATGGCTGCCATCAGCATCATTCTTGGATATACTATCATTGGTTCAATTAAATAATCAATCCTTTAATCCTATATCTAAGAGGATGTTGCTTGGTTGTTCACTTTTTGTTTCTTTGTAAAGTGTAATGTAGAGCTTTACACTGATTGTGCTGGTAAATATTTCTTTAGTCACACATCTGATCATTTCCCAAAAGTATATTTGTAGAAGAGGAACTGCTAAATCAGGGTAAAACCACAGTATAGACTATAAAATACAATATGTACGTGCGTACGCGTGTGTAGGAGGGATTTAACATTTTCCCACATGGTTAGCTATAATTTAACACCATTTATTCCATCATATACTCTCACTCTACTGATTTGACATTTCATATTTATCATATAATAAATTCTGCATGAAGCTTTTTAAGAGAATAGAGAACTTGAAGGCAAAGCCAGAAGAAAGTAACGATTTGGGAGAGAGTCAGATTATCAGCCTATATACAGGCATTAAGACCAGGAATGGAGAAGATGTGTAGAAAAAGGTCATTGTACTTGCTTTAAGAGGCTGACTCAGGGGATTTCTAAGGGTAAGGCACGATGATGCCCGTAAGCCAAAGATCATTTTGGATGAGAGGGATTTTACAGTGAACTTGAAAGGTAGTCATGGCTTCCACACATGCAAACTCCTTTCTTCTCTGGTTACCAATAAAGCTGGAAAAAAAAATCAGTCAGCCTTGGATAGAAAGGAGGGAAGTAAAAATTAAACTATCAAGAAAGAATAATGGCCACCTTTGTAACTGAGTCTAACTCTAGTTACTTAAATGTATGTACGCTGTATATAATTTGTATCCCCAAAGTTTCAAACTACACCTGAACAGGTTTTCACATTTTAGGAGCCTTTTGCATTTTCTTTTATGAAAACTGTGTTCATAGTCTGGGCTTATTTTTCTATTGGTTTGTTTGCTTTTGTCTTATTGACTTGTAGACACTATTTATCAGGGAAATTAGCCCTTTGAAATGTGGATTGCAAACGTTTTTCCTAGTTTGTCATTGTCTTTGTGTATGTCTTTGCGTGAGTGTTACTGATTATCACAAACAAATCTATACCAGGTCCTTTCTGAGATAATCAGAGATGGCCCTAAACTCAACAAATGCCTTATTTTCTAAAGCTTTTAAAAAAAAAATGGTGGTAAAATATACCTATCATAAAATTTACCATTTCAACCACTTTTTGCAATATACAGTATTATGTTTATTAAATGCCCAATAAAAATCATTTGTTCTTCTTAAAGGTAATGACAGCAGTATTTAAAAATGAGAAAACATACTTACAAGGTTAATATAGTGCTGGTTGCGGTTACTTGAGAATCCAAAATAAGAACTGGATGTTAATTATATTGTTTATAAATATATAATGGTTATTATTTATTATATATCAGGTACTATGCTGAGTACTGTACATACTCCTGCTGCATAGCTTTAATAACCCTATGAGAAAGCTATAAGCATCCTCATTATATAACCAAAGAAACAGAAACTTGAAAAGATGAAGTAACTTGCAAAAGATCTCACAGGCAATGAATTAGGTAACTGGGACTTAATCCCAACCAGTCTGATTCCAGGGCCTGAAGTCAAACAGCTGTACCAGTGTCGGTCTCACAGAGGATGGGACCCAGAACACTGCATGAGATTGTTTTGGATAGAAAATGGATGAACTTTAAAATTTTGCTAGTAGTTGTGTATTTATTTATTCACTATTGTAGTTACGCATCATGTAAAATTTAGCATTTGAACTACGTTCAAGTAAGTGTACAGTTTGGTGGCATTAAGGACATGGTGGCAACATCACCACCATGTCATTGTCTTGTCACTTTGCTATGGCAGGTTTTGCCACGCAAAACATTTTTATTTTTATGTCATCAAATTTATCAACGTTATATTTTATGGATTCTATGTTTTGTGTCACACTTAGAAAGACCTTCCCCACTCTGAGATTATGTATTTTTAAATCTTCTGAGGTTTCTTCTGGTTTCATTTTTTTCCACTTCACTCTTAAATCCTTCAGAAATTTATCCTGGCATAAAGTGTGAGATAAGGATGCCACTTTATTTTTTTAATGCCAATAGAAATTATATTTGCAACTAGATAAATTCATTTTAAGTTCATATGGGAGGGAAAGGCAAGCAAAAGCAGCCAGGAAAATTCTGAAAAAGGGACTGGTTGGGGTGTGGAGAATTAGTGCTACCAGAAATGAAAACATTCTAATTTACAGTAATTAAAATAATTTGGTCTCAAGTGCTGAAACTGATAGAATAATGAAATGAAATAGGACGATCAGAACTTATGAGAATTTAGTGTAAAGGTGTAAATTTAATTTAAAAGGTATAAATTTACTGCCATCTTTATCATGCTTACCCAAAAATATGACGCGCCTTTTCATTTGTTGAAGTCTTCTGTTAGATATCCAATCTTAAAATGAGAACACTGTCCCATCTCTCCACCACCTTCCTGTCTGCTGAAGAAGTTAGTAAAAAGTTACCTGTGGAGGCTTTGTTTGGGACCTAAATTTTTTTTCCAAATTTATTCCTAACATATTGGACTTCCTTGTCACTCTATTTACAAAATGTGGAAAGCTATGATCAAGTCTGGCTTAATCAGACATATCTATCCTGTACCATATTTCCATAGTCTGGGCTCAAACCCAATGCTAAGTGTTAAAGATTAAACAGCAGGTGTTAGGTGTTGGCAGAATTCTTTATAAAGGTTCCAGAGGCTGAGGTTGGGCCTTGATTTAACTTGAGCTTTGATTTAACCAGGATGGCAGCTGGAAGTTACCATCTACTCAGTATTATTATGCATCCAATCTCAAAGATGGTGCCTTAGGTTACCATGGATGTTGGTCTAAAACGGCAATGTCCAATAGAAATATAATGCAAGTCACAACTATAAATTAAAATTGTTTAGTAACCACACTAAAAAAAAAGTAAAAAGAAACAGGTGAAATGAAATTTAATAATATTTTTATTTAATTCAATATATCAAAAGCATGATCATTTCAACATGTAATCAACATAAAAATTGAGATAGTCAACATTATTTTTCATACTAATTCTTGGAAACCTGGCATATATGAGTATGTCACACTTATAGCACAACTCAATTTGGACTAGCCAAATTCAAGTGCTCAATAGCCACCTACGGCTTCTGGCTACCATACTGGAAGGTACAACTCTAGAAAATGGTAATAAGCATGGGAAATCGCTTAATTTAATTGAAATCCAGAGACTCCAAGGTTGGAAATACAGTATCTCAAGGGTCTGTAACAGACTTTAAGAATCACGAATACTAATATACATTTGCTATTTGAATCTTTTCTACAAATCAAGGTTCACCAGACTAGTGCTTGACTCACACTTCCAGGGATGATGAGTTCACTGCTTCCTAAGGCTAGCCAGTCTATTTGGGGACAATCTTAACTCAAAAATTCCTTGCTAAGGGCACAAACAGGTTGGTTTATAGTGGTTTGAAGAGCTTAGTTGGGTTCAGTCAACCTTAAGGGGTTAGTTAAACTAGGACGTATTGGAGGAGTTAAGAACTAAAAAATGGAAGGCGAGATGGGGATAGGAACTGGAGGCTGGAGGCTGGGGCTGAACATCTAGTTCAAATCCTCAGCTACACAGCAACAAGAGTAACAGACACATAAAAAAAACTGTGAATATATGCTAACTTCACTAATCTGGAGATAGAGTGATTTGGAGAATAATCTGAATTATGACAAAAAATTTTCACGGTAAAATAAAACATAATTGGGTCATAATTAATGAATGATATTATATGCATTAGATCTGTAATACAAATAACATTATCCTAAATCTTAAACTACTTTATCAGAAGAATTAATTTTCAGACCCAGAAATCAAAGACACTTTCAGTCTTATTCCCTCTTGATTTTCTTTTAACCTTTCCTTACTTGAAATCAAAGACAGAAAACTTTGTTTAAAGTTCAGTGAAAATGACATCGACTGCCTGAATCATGATGAATTCTGACTGGGTGGCTTCTGAAATAATACATGTTGTTGTATTTGCATTTCTTCTGTTTCTTTTTCCCCCCTTGGTAGTGAGAAGGTGTTCTTTTCCAGGCCACCGTCACCCTCCCGGCCTCCCCAATTCTACCTTTCCAAGGCAGGGAAGGTGCATCCTCGCCAGGGCTCTTGCCAGCGCCTCCCTAGTACCTCTGGCCAGCAGCCGGCGAAATGGCGCACCTTGGACATCCATTAACGTTTTATACTACATCTCTGTCCCCGCCGAGGCTTCTCCTGGTTGTTGACCGCGGCCCCATGCTCCCCTACCCGCCTGCACACTGTCAACCGCACTCCGGGGGAAAATTTTGGAACAGAAGCTCCGCCCACCCCCTTCCCTCCCGCTTCCACAAAACCAGCTAAACACCACACCTCGGGCCGCCGAAACGGGTTTCGTCACAAGAGCTGAGTAGTGTAAT